CTGTAATCCTTGCTTGCTTTACATGAACCAAATGAATCAGCCAATAAATTAGTGACTGACTATTTCCACAGAACTAGAAGGTTTCACATCCCCAGTACAAAAGGTTACCACACAGCAAGTTACAACCACTTCCGATCCTTATTTATTTATTTAGTGTTCTGTCTGACGACAGGTCCATATGAACAGGATCCTTCCATCCTTTTCTCGGACTGGGACCTGTTCATATACGTTCTTGGCAGATGATCCAGAAGGTGTTTGCCATTTCCTTCTTCTGTGTGTGAATGGAGTAATTGTTGGGATGCCACGGAGGAAAACTCCGTGTTGCCTAGACCACGGCCTTGCCCAACACAAGTTATAAATCCAGGCACCGCCGGGAATCGAACCCGAGACCATAGGATTACAAGGCCAGCGTTCTAACCGCTAGACCACCGTGGCTTTTATTCCGATCCTTACAACCTACAAAATTCTGTGTTTATTTTTTATCTGCCCTCAGTCAGTACTACGGGCTAGACGATTGCGTTTTGAGTCCCGCATCAAGGACTTCCGTCTTAGTCCCTATTTAAAGTCGACTCTGATCCACACGCAGTCTACTATCTTTGCTTTTCCCCTGGTGCTTTTTACTAAAGCCGACAGCGGTGCGTAGTGTTACAGTAGGACGAGGATTTGCATGAAGTAGCTGAGAAACCTCAGTTGTCTCCATTAATCTTGCCACAAAAGAATCTATCAAGAGCAGCACACTGTGAGCCGCGATCTCTCTTTCAACTCGGCACGTGTTCTGATCTAATGTAGTACCGTACTTACGTCACTCATACATTCACTGTATTGTGTCGACGGAAACGACGGTGACGATGAAGGGGCAGGCGACGGCGTCCTGGTGGTCCCTTCGGAAGTTTCTCCAAAGCAGAGGGTCAATATCTCGATTCAAGGCCATATTAGAAATTACTAGAAGCACTAAAAGAGTGAAGGCTGGATCAGAGTAAATGCTTTTTATTTATTTGGAAGCCTGTATTTCTTTCTCTTGAATTCATTAAGAGGAAAAAGTGACGTGAGATGCAGATCGCACAACACGTGCCGTGGCTTTACAGTCCATTACTCATTTAACATTTTAGACCAGGTGTGGGGAAGTGAAACATTACGAAGCACATTCAGCACGGATGCGATCACTACAATAGAAATTTTTCAGTTGTTACGCAGTCCAGCAGGGACGTCTGTCTGCGTAAGGGAAGGAGAGCTTCGACTTTATGTGAAAGTTAGTAATTAACGCAGGTTCGACAATGGCACAGGGCTGTCCAGTGTGTGGCACGATTTCCTTTTTCTCTCCCTCGATGATGTGAAACTGGAAACAGATTTCTTATTTATGATAACCTCACATCTCACCTTATTTGTGATTGTTTGAAATTAGCGGTCTCTATGGGGAAGGAAATTGATGAGAACATATCATCTAAAGAATAGTGTAGGTAAATAAATAAAAATAAACAAAAACAAGAACAGTTTTTGCAGAAGTTTCTTTAGTGCTATGATTATACTAACACGTTTCCAACGCTGTAATGCATTTGTTATTCAACACTGTAGTCATTATGAAGTCATGCACTAGCAGCGCCGCAAGCGAGGTGACGTTAAAGCTTGGTATCGAGACGTTTCAAACGAAGTGATCAATGTGTAACTTTCTGAAATTATTGTTTTAGCTGACAAGCTTCAAAACTTTCAAGTCCTATGTGTAACACGTTGTGACACTGAAATAATATAAAAAATGTGAATATTAGAGACGAAAAGTTTCTTTATTTCTCACGATTTCTTGCAATCAGAAGTTCTATAGATCTAATGTTTGTTTCAGTTGATTATAGACTTACTCAGCTTTATGACTAGTAAGTGTGCAAAGAGATTACACAAATTTAAGACATTGACTTTCTACAATATTTATGTTCAATCAGTCACCATGTAACGCTGCAATAAATTCATATATCCTAAACATTTTATGATATTTTTAACACGGTTCTTTGTGTTTCTTCAGAGTTACGAGTTCTTAGAAACACCAAAAACACTGCTGGGACATTTAATCATACACCCAAAAAGCCTGAAAGCTAGGTACAATGTCAACTGTAAATAACATTTTCTCCGAACGTCATAATATAAGGGATAATATTTCTATTTAACATTAATACAGCGTGAACTTTGTATTCTTCACTAAATAATTTATTAGGGTGATTAAATGAGAGAGAGTTGAATGGGCTGTGACAAATGCATAGAAAATGTTAGTCCAAAATTCTATAAGAAAGAAATGACTTGGTAGACCAGATGTAAATGGGTATGTAGTATAATATTCAAATAAATACCAAAAGATTGGGTGTGGACTAGTTTCATATTGCTCAGAATAGGGTCCAATGGCGGGCTGTTGTGAATCTTCCGGTTTTCATTCGTAATGTTACACAAAAAATCAAATGCCATGACACCCTTCACTTTCTCTACCACCTGTAAGATACGTCTGCACGCGCCAGTCCTTGTTCATCACGTGTCCCATGTTTCTTTTGTTTTCTGCTGGGACGTGGATACGCAGCCGGTATTGCAGCTCTTACCAAACCTAAAATTCCCTCTGCATGTCCTGAAAATGCAATTGTACGTCACCTAGCTCCCTGATTCCACTTGCAATGATATACTTGTAAGATTTCATCAGTCGCTAATTACCTTACCTTCAGCTCCTCAATATTCGTATGGAAAAATTGTTGAAAGACAGCAACTCGGTAACGAGACCGAAATTCGAAGATCGTCCCTAGGCATTTCTAATGTCATGTCTCTTCCAGTTATATATTTACATAATTTTCTGAATTCTTTTATATAAATTATGTAGAGTCTCACGGGGGATGCCGCGGACAATGAAATCATTTCTCATATAATAAATCAATATGAAACAGGCTATATCTTTGCTATATTTACTTTTTACACTCACTTCATCAACATAAGTTTGCAGCCTTTGTGTTATCTGTCAGCCATTCCGATGCCTTTGGCTTCAGAGGGCCCTACAGACTATTACAGAAACATACAACTTTCAAATCGAATAGAGAAAGGTAGGGCAGGTTTCTGTGTACAAAGATAATGTTTGTGTAATTGTAGTGCCATTAGAAATAACTATATTAGGATTCGGTCAACATAAACCCGATGTATAGCGAAGTAAACTCAGTAGATGGATGAAGAAATGTCCAATTAGCAGACTATAGGTAAAATAACTATAATATAAAGGTAGCTATTAAATCCTTTAAAAATATGACAAATTTTAAACTTCCGGTAAGGACGGTAAGAAGTGAAAATTCGATTCACGAAGAAAATGGTGACAAATTAAATTCGGAGTGTTTGCTACCAAGTAACTGAGAATTTTTTTTCCCTTTTGATGTATAAAATCGTAAGGATTAAAATACTGGCCCTACGAAACAAAAATGTGTGTCATTAATATGATCAAATCAAGAAGGATGAGATGGACAGGCCATGTAGCACGTATGGGGAGGTAAGAAAGTGCATACAAAATTTTGTTGGAAAGTCTGAAAGGGACAGAGTACTTAGAAGACTTGGGCGTAGATTGGAGGATAATATAAATTTAATCTCAAGGAAATTGTTTCTAAAATTGTGGACTAGATCGATCTGGGTTGAAGAGGACCATCGCCAATCTCTTATGAATACGGTAATCAACCTTCGGATTCTTAAAAAAGGGAGTTTCTCAACTAACGGAACGACAATTAGCTTTTCAAGAAAAACCCTGTTCCACGGAGTCAGTTTAAGAATACATAAAAATATGCTGTTCTTAATAACTTAGTTCATAATACAAAATATTCCCTGAGCACCTAGCAATTATTCATGTGTTCGTATCTCTGCTTCTGTGGAAGCCGAAGTTTCATTGTATATTTACAGGATCTATAGTTTACTCTTTCTTAGCCAGTTCAATCCAGCCCGCTCCACTATGCCCTGTTTCCCTACGACCCATTTCTCATCTGCTCCTATGTATCCCAAATGATCTTTTCAATTTGATTATTTTGTGTTCGGACTCCAAGGAGTTCTTATTTCCTCTGTGATTCGAAAAGAGAGTCCTGTCAGATATATGAGTCATTAATTCTGTGACTTGAAACAAGATAATGTTAAGCGCAGAAAAGTAAGGTTCTTGTAATCATTAAAAGAAAATCGATAAAGGATTAAGAATCAGAACTTTGACTGTTTATTTCTTCTGACAGTTGAACATCCTAAAGCAAGGCATAAGAAATGACCGGAGTGGTTCATATTAAAAGCTGTATTACGACTTATAGCGGATTTTATTTGGAGGTGACATTTTATTGCCTCAAACCATTTTAACGATAGAACCAATTATTGGATTGGGAGTAGCAATTCTGAGTCGGAAAGTGCCAGAGCACTTGATGTGAACGATGAAAAAGAAACGTACAGGTTATAAAGCTCCTCATTATGTAATTTTCTTTTATCCTTTGCTTCTTCATCTTTCTGGGATACAATTGGAGAGAGAAATAATTCGTCAAGCAAAATTTAAGATAGGTACCGTGAAAGCTATTAACCCTTCTGGAATCTCAGGACGAGACGTGTGAGACTGTCAATTGTCAATGCAGCCTACGAAGAGAAAGTTCGTTAGTCGTCCCTATGTGTGAACTGAACACACCAAATTAATTTCTTCCGACTTTTCCTGTCAACTTTTGGTGAAAGCAACTAGGTTCTTGTGACAAAAATAAAGATGATTTGTTTTGTGATGTGAGCTATTAAGATTCGTATTTTTCTATCAGAATGTCCCTGATACACAGTAGACATCTACGGCCAGCTGGAATGACGTAAGAGAGCGATGATCCCTTACTCACGAGAGACAGAGAGGAAGAAAGATTTCAAACAGACGTGATTGAAGATTGCCCATACAAGGATAGGAAGAACCAGATGAACCACTTGGGCTGTTGGGATAGACAGTAACGCTAAATGCAAAGGCTACAAAATACATATAGAATGAAGATTTCTGTCTTCTGGGTTGTTGCGCCGTGAAGCATGGTAGATGTTAACCAACGTTTCCGCGGAATCGCCCTGATGACGGAGGCAATATGACCTCTGAAACGTTGGTAAACATCGACCATACTACACAGCGCAACAACCCAGAAGACAGAAATCTTCATACTCATCGCCCTGATGGTGGAGGCAGTATGACCTCTGAAACGTTGGTTAACATCGACCAGACTACACAGCGCAACAACCCAGAAGATAGAAATCTTCATACTCATTGCCCTGATGACGGAGTCAGTATGGCCTCCGAAACGTTGGTTAACATCGACCATACTACACAGCGGAACAACCCAGAAGACAGAAATCTTCATACTCA